GTGGGGGGGGCAATGCAAGCTCTACCAAACATCCACACGACTCTAGGGAACCACCCACACCCAGCTTCCCGCCCTATGACGTCAGGACACTTCACTTCGTGGCGCGCGGACGATCGTGGATACTACACTCGTGGATACTACACTGGCGTGGAGTACACACCCGCAGAGTTTGATCACTTGTTTGGGCCCCGCATGTGCCCCGCATCGTGCATTCGTTGCGCATGACATAGAGAGAGCAAGACAGAGAGAGAGAGAGAGCAAGACAGAGAGACAGAGAGAGAGAGAGAGAGCAAGACAGAGAACCCTGGAAACCCTGGAACTGAGGAGAACACTGAGCTGGGGTTCCCAGGGGAAGTCGGAGGCTTCCTGGGGCCGCTTGGGGTCCTCTTGGGGTAGGGGGGAAGCCTCCTGAAGCCGCTTGGGGTCCTCTTAAGCTTTGGGGGGCTTCTTGGAAGCATCTTGGGGCCTCTTGGGAGCTTATTGGGTCCTCACGGCGGGCTCTTGAGGCCTCTTGAAGGCCTCCTGGGGCAACGTATGGCGCAACCAGTAGGGAGCGGTTTATTCTCGGCGGCCGAGGGCGCAACCTATGGCGCAACCAATAGGAGGGCGTTTTATTCTCGGCGGCCGAGGGCGCAACCTATGGCGCAACCGCAAGGGATTATGGCCCCTGGCAGGCGCGCGAACCCCGTTGCAAGAGCGTGCGAAAGTAGCTCGCGCGAGCTCATGTAACATAAATGTTGGAAAACCATTGGTTTTTTTAGGATTCGGACAGCGCGCGCGGGTGGAAATTTTGAAAAGTCGTGCAGGTGTTTTTCGAGGACCTACGGTGCGATTCGTGTGATTTTATGATGCGCGGTGGTAAAATTCTTAAGAACCCAATGGTTTTTGGAGATTTCGGCGTGCGCGCGCGAAGAAAAAACGAATGTGTCCCGCATGGTATTATTTGAAGGGATGATGGCCCTGGCAGGTGCGCAACCGTTGTCGCAGAAGTTCGAAAAAGTTGCTCGCAAAAGCCCGTTTGACAAAATTGTTTAAAAAGTGATGGTTTTCCTACGAATCCGCAAGAGCGCGCGGGATGAGATTTTGACAATTTTTTATTTAAAAAACCATTGGGTTTTTGATGTTTTTATGTTGAAATCGTTCCGAAACCTAAGGTTTTGGAAGGATTTCGTCTTGCACGCGCGAATGTCCACTTTAGCTTATTTTTTGCAAGGGATTCTTGAAATTGGATTACATTTGAACAAGAAATTTCATTTTATAGTGTTTTTTGCAAGGGAAAACGGGGGGGAACAAAACAACCGGATCCGGTACTAATCCACTTTTCTGAAGCTTTCGCGAAAAAATGAATGAAAATGTAGCTGCGGCCTAGGTTTTGGAGGGGGGTCGTGTACCAGGGGTCCAACAATAATTATTCTTTAGAAGTAATAATGTTCAACAACAACAAACAACAACAACAACAACAACAACAACAACAACAACAACAACAACAACAACAACAACAACAACAACAACAACAACAACAACAACAGCAATAGCATACAAAACAAACTAGTTGGGGGGGTCGGGGTGTTTCCGAGGGGGGGCCACAAAACCCCCAGAATCGCAATTCGGGGGGAGGGGGGGAATAAAAAAAACGAATACCCACATTCGTTGTTGTTCCTGTGTTTTGGTTTACTGATTGTTGATTGTTTTTCCGTGGGCTTTCTGCTCCAGCCCCCACCCCTGCCAGGTTTCAGGGGGAACTGCTCCCAAAAAACCTCCCACTCGGAGGTTGTTCCAAAAATATCCGACGGTTCTCCAGCCACCCCGGGCTCCTGGCAGGAATTACGCTACCGAGGAACCCCACATACCTAGGTTATTTCCCATGTGTACCATCGGTGCTTCTGATGCTGCTCCTCCTTCTCCTCCTCGGTGTCCTCCTCCTGCTGCTGCTTCTGCTGCTGCTGCTTCTGCTGCTGCTGCTGCGTCTGCTGCTGCAGCTGCTGCTGCTGCTGCCGCTGCTGCTGCCCCTCCTCCCCGTCCTCCTCCTCCTCCTCCTCCTCCTCCTCCTCCTCCTCCTCCTACCTCCTCCTCCTCTCTCCTCCTCCTCCTCCTCCTCCTCCTCTCTCCTCCCCTCCTCCCTCCCCTCCACTCCTACCTACCTCCTCCTCCTCCTCCTCTCCTCCTCCTCCTCCTCCTCCTCCTCCTCCTCCTCCGCCTCCTCCTCCTCCGCCTAGCCTCCTCCCCTCCTCCCTCCCTCCTCCACCTCTCCTCCTCCTCCTCCTCCTCCTCCTCCTCCTCCTCCTCCTCCTCCTGTACCTCCTCCTACCTCCCAGCGAACCCCCTGTGTCGTCGACGACATGCCACGCCTCCACGCCCTGGGAGCCTGCAGCGCATAGGCCCCCACCCCCAGCGCGCCCCCTGTGGTGTCGAGGAAATGCCACTTCCACGCCCTGGGAGCCTACAACGCATGAGGGCCCCTACCCCAGCGCACCCCCTGCGGCACGCCTGCACGCCCTGGGAGCCTGCAACGCATAGGGCCCCCACCCCCAGCGCACCCCCTGTGGCGTCGAGGAAATGCCACGCCTGCCACGCCCTGGGAGCTTGCAACGCACCCCTCCGGTGTCGAGAAGGTGCCACGCCTGCAAGGCCCTGCGACATTGGCGCGTATAGAGACCGCGGGTGGGCCCCCACCCCGCGCACCCCCTGTGGCGTCGAGGAAATGCCACCCTGCTAGGCCCTGCCATTGGCGCGTATAGAGACCCGGTGGGCCCCCAAAGCGCACCCCGTGGCGTCGAGGAAATGCCACTCCTGCTAGGCCCTGCGACATTGGCGCGTATAGAGACCGCGGTGGGCCCCACCCCCAGCGCACCCCCGTGGCGTGAGGAAATGCCACGCCTGCTAGAGGAAATGCCACTCCTGCTAGGCCCTGCGACATTGGCGCGTATAGAGACCGCGGTGGGCCCCCACCCCCAGCGCACCCCCTGTGGCGCCCAGGAAATGCCACGCCTTCCACGCCCTGGGAGCCTACAACGCATAGGGCCCCCACCCCCAGCTCACCCCCTGTGGCGTCGAAGGAGTGCCCTGTGTGCTATGCTGTGCTGTGCTGTGCTGTGCTGCTGTGCGGTGAGCTGTGCTGTGCTGTGCCGTGCTGTGCCGTGCTGTGCTGTGCTGTGCTGTGCTGAGTTGAGCTGAGCTGAGCACCCCCCTGCACACCCGCTCTGGTGCGAGAAAGAGAAGGGGAGGGGGGAGGTGTGAGACGCGGGTGCGGCGCGGCAGGGAAGAAAACCAAACCCCCACGAAACATGTGGGGAAAAAAACCGTATGAACTCACTCGGACTGTTTTTCTAGGATTTTCCAGTGGCTCCCCGGCCACCAACGGGACCCCCCAGGACCCCCGAGCTCCTGTTTGGGGATTCGGCGGGCCACCCCAGGAACCCTTCAAAAACTCGCCATTTTGTGATCCGGGACCCTCTAAAAACTTCCCAATTGGGGGGTTCTTCTGTGTTTTTTCAAAATTTGGTCCGAGGCCCCCCAGGCCCTCCAAGATCCCCCAACGAACTCCTCCACTCGGGTTTGTTTCACTATTTTGGTTTTCTCGGCGCTTCTCCCGCCCCCCCAAGACCTCCCAACAAACCCCTCCCCCAAGGATCCCACGAAAAAATCGCCCACCCCGGTTTTGTTATAATACTTTGCCTGGTGTTTCGGGGGTTCTCCGACTGCACCAGCAACCCCCCAACAAACCTATCATTGATGTGTGTGTGTGTGTGTCTTTCTATTACTTTAAGCTGTGGAGTACTGGGGTGTGTTGGAGGCGGGCGCTGTGGAGTACTAATTGATGTCGTGGTGGAGACGGGGGCTGTGGTGCACTGGGTGTGGCGTTCGGGAAGCGGTCGGGGCGGGCGGGGCGGGCGGCGGGCGACGGGGGAGGCCAGCGGGCGGGGTCGGGTTTTGAATGCACCTCCTAAGGAATCCGTCTTGGAAGCGTAGGTTGTGGATTACTGGGGTGCGTTGGAAACGGAGGCTGTGGAGTACTGGGTGATGTGCTGGAGTCGGAAATCTGTGGAATACTGGGCTGCGCCTTGGAAACGGAGGCAGTGGAGTAAAGAGTAATGTGGTGGAGTTGGGGGCTGTGGAGCACTGGGTGTGGGAAGAAAGCCGTCTTGGAAACGGAAGCTGTGATGTACTGGGTTGCGTTGGAGACGGAGGCTGTGGAGCTGTGTAGGAGACGGAAGCTGTGGAGTACTGGGGTGTGCGCTGTGGAGTACTGGGTGGTGTGTTGGAGACGGAGGCTGTGGAGTACTGGAATATGCTCTCGAGACGCAGGCCGTTGGCGTACTGGGTGAGGTGGTGGAGACAGAAAGGTATAGAGTACTGGGTGTGGCGTTGGGGAAGCGGCCGGGGCGGGCGGGACGGACGGGGCGGGCAGGGCGGGCGGCGGGCGGCAGGGGCGGGCGGCGGGCGGGATCGGTTTTTGGAACACACCTCCTTATGAAGCCTGTTTGGAAACGGAGGCTCCGGAGGCTGTGGAGTACTGGGTGTTGTGTTGGAGACGGAGGGTGTGGAGTACTGAGCTGCGCGCTCGACACGGAGGCCGTGGAGTACTGGGTGCTGTGTTTGAGACGGGGGCTGTGGAGTACTGGTTGCGGCGTTGGAAAAGCCGGCGAGGCATGCGGGACGGCAGGGGCGCGCTACGGGCAAGATCGGGTTTTAATGGAGCTCCTTAGGATGCCGACCCCCGGAAAACCTTTCTGGCAAAAAACGGATTCAACAAAGAAAAAAACAGAGGGGAGGGGCTGGAAGAACCCTCGGAAAACTTCCATTCAAAATCCGACACAAGACCGACAAAACCGTAGAAAACCATCGACAGAAACCAAACGGGGGGGTCCCGTAGGCGTGCGAAGAAATTTCCACACCCTACTGGGGGCGAGAATGGTAACGGGGGAAGCAGGGGCGGGAGGGCCAGGGCGTAGACAAGTGCGAGCGAAGGAGGCGCACGGGGACGGGGACGTGGACGTGGACGGGGACCGCGGCAGCGGACGTGAAGGGCGAGGGCGAGAGCGTGGGCGACAGGGAGGCCAAGGGCAGGATCGGCTCGCCTGGCGGAGGCGCTGCGCGCAAAGCCTGGCGCGCTCCGCGGCGGCACCCAGCCTGCGCGCGGCCGCCGCCGCTGGCCGGGTCAGGCCTGGCCCTGCGCACTGCAGGTGGCGGCGGGCCCAGCGCAGGAGACGCTGCGCGCCTCCTCGAACGCGGCGCGGGGTGCGGCCAGGAAGCGGGGGAAGCCGCCGCGGCCCACGCGGCCGCCGCCGCAGGCGGCCCCGCCCGAGGAGCCCAGGCCGAGCTCGCAGAGGCACGTGCCCACAAAGCTGCTCGCCTCGTACCACTGCCCAGCCTCCTCGCAGGCGGCCGCCGCTGCCGCGCTGCCGCCAACCCGCAGCGGCACAGTCAGGCCCTGGAACAGCGCCATCAGGGCCCGCTTGAAGAAGTAACCGAACCGTCCGAAGTCCCTGGCCACGGCCACCGGGGCCACGCCGGCGTCTGGGCCGGCGACGCCGCGGCCCGCGAAAGCTCTCGCGAAGGCAGCGCCCGAAGCCCAGTTCTCCGCGGGCTCGGCCCCTGGGCACAGCATGCCGACCTCGTGGAAGCCAGGGCCGTGGCTGCCATACTTCGAGGGCACGCAGAACTGGCCTGTGACGACCGTCAGCTGCTCCCCGCGCGCCTCTGGCGTCATCCTGGGGTCCCAAGCTCCTGCGCTCCACAGTTTGCCGCAGAGCGGCGACGAGCAACAACCACCTGCAACATCCTCCAGCGTGCCGCGCCAGTGGCAGCCACCGACCAGCGTCACCGACCGAATGGGGCTGCCGTCGCCCACTGCGTCGCAGCCCTCCTCATTCTCCATCTCCACAATCAGGCCTGACACGTGGATGCGGTTGGCATCGTTGAACGGGGCCCTGCACCAGTACGCCTTCGCCACGAACGGCAGCGTGCGGGTGACCAGGTCCTCCACGGAGACGCGGAATGGAAAGAGGCTGCTCCGCGCGTCGACGTCTTCGTCGCCCCAGGGGAACTCCTCCAGCAACTGCAGCCGGCTGAGCGGGACGCCCTCGGAGAACCGCTGGTACGTGTCCTGGCGCACCAGCCCCGCCTGGAAGAACAGCACGTCCCCACGAGTGCTCTCGCGCATGAAGTCGAGCCACATGTTCACCGCCACCGACTCCGCGTCCCGGACGATCCCTGTGTCGTAGACGCCCTGGAAGACTACGTTGAGGGGCTCGCCGTCCGCCTCCTCAGAGGCCTCCCACATGGGGTCCGAGTAGATGGCGACGCTTCGACGATGCATCGGCGACGTCGGGTTGGAGAAGCTCGGGCTCCACATCGAGCCGCATCGCCGATGCATCGGCGACGCGGCGCGATCCTCCGACCCCATCTGCTTCGACCCCGTTTGGGAGCCCTGGACTCCTGCGCCTCTCTCGCGTAGGCCTCGAAAATGCCCCGGGTCTTCGCGAACCAGGCCGCCCTGCCAGGGTCCAGCGCGCGGTGCTCGCACGCGCCGGCGACCACCGGCACGACCTCCAGGGAGCCGGACGGCGGCCGCCCGGCGGGCACGTCGAAGGTGAGCCTGGAGATCGCCTGGGCGTCCGCACCGGCCTTCACGAAGAAGGTGGTCCCCCCGTCCAGGCGCCGCAGCTCCGCGAACACCGCGTAGTGGTCGTGGCCGCCGATGATGGCGTCCAGATGCAGGCCCGCGTGCTCCACCTCGGCTGCACGCAAGCGAGACCCTGGGCAAGAGTGACCTCGGGTGCGCGGCTCGCCGATCGTTGCACCTGGTGCGACCATGACGGCCTGTGCGCTCGGGTTTGACCCTTCCGCGCCACCCAGAAGCCACGCACCAAAGGTCACACCAGCGGAGGGTCACCCTTCGGTGTAGCCGATCCACCGCGCGGAACAAGTTGAGGTCGTTCCCGGCCCGCGTGTGTGTCATCGCGACCCGGAGGGTGCACCCCAGCCTGCCGCGCTCCCAGCCGCGCAGTATGGCCACGGCGGCGGGGATGTCTCGGGCTGTGCCTTTGACCTTTTGGTGGTTCAAAGATGGGGTCCTGAGGGTGCAAATCCGCCCGTGAACCCCTTCCTATCCTTAAGACCCAATCCCTCAGGACCCCATCTTGGAACCACCGAACCTTCTTCCCCAGCCAGTTCATTTTGTCGGTGTCAGAGGTGCCGAGCACGCACACCCTCACGCCGCCCTTATCGAGCATCGCCCATCCGCGTCCGAACCGGCTCCCTGGTAAAACGCTCAGGCGGCGCCACTCACTGGCTGTGTACTCACCCATGTTTCCCTCGACCGTGGCCGATCCAACCATTGGCTGTTGGATATCCAGACCGCTGGAGTCCTCCAGGTTGGCATTCAGATAGTGGAACGCCGATCTGTTCATCTGCTCCCTTAGGACAGTGACCTTGTAGTCCACGTCGTGGTTCCCTATGTTCACGAGATCGATGCCCATGTGGCTCATAACCTCGACCAGCTGCTTGCCCCTGTGAACCTCTCCGAGATAGGACGGGCCTATGAAGTCTCCTGCAAGCGTGCCAATGGCCAGGTCCCCCGCAGTAGTGGCCTCCTCCTTGAGCCACCTGAATGTGGCACTGAAATCGAGGAGCCCTCCGAACTTCATATGGCTCCCATTGGGTGGCAACGCAACAGTACTCTTGGCAGGCTCTTTACCGCATGGGCCCACGACGACTTGCACACCCTCAGCTTGCTGCTTCAATGATAAGAACGTCGCCTTACCAAATTTCGACGGAAAACATGCCTCCCATGCCGCGCCCCAGCCGCAACTCTCCAGGTCCGTGTTACAAGGCCTTCCATCGCACGCGCTTGCTGCCACTTCGTCAACGTAGGCGAAATCCTCCTTGAGATAAAAATACGGCAGATCGCTGGGCAGACCGACAAGCTTGTACACGTCGTTCACCGACAGAATGACGACCCTCCGTGGCCGGTCTTGCCCTGCAGCCTCAAGTGCACCAGGAACTGGCGCAACCAATCCTGCCAGCGCAACAGCTACAGCCATCGCAAGCGGCAAGCCCATGCCTTCGCGCGTGCCGCACCTGCTGCACGAAGGCAGCGGCGGACCATCTACGCGCGGGTGTTGGATAGGAGAAGGCCAGATGGGACGGAGGATGGGTAAGCCAATGGCTACGGACAGAGAACAGAGGCCCAGGAAGGACAACAACAACATCAGGGCGAGTCCTCATACATCGAAGAACCACGCGCGCGAAGACGGCACTGGCAATGACTCCCTGGCTGCCTTATCCTTCTCTGCCTCCATCTCGCGCCTCCGCCCCTCACCCGTCGCTCCTTCACTGGGCAGTCTACTCGCAGAAAGCCCATAACCACGATCTTTGCAACACGTCGTTCGACCGGCCATCCCGTCTCTTGGGGATTCTCAGATACCTCTTGCGGCATATCGGGGCCACCTCGAGACAGTCACGGGGCCTCTTGGAATTCCGCGGGTGCCCTCTTGGGCCGTCTGGGACGAGCTCGGGGGTCCCAATGTGGCGGGGCAGACCAGGCTGCAGCAAAGGCCGCCTTTTCATTGCGTCTTGGAGCTCTCATGTCGCACTATTGGTATCGTCTTGGGAGCTTCTTACAACACTAGTGGGCCGCCGTGGGGGCATCTTGCAGATCTAGTCGAACACCCTGGGGCTTTCCAGGAACCTTTCAGGGGCTCGGAGTGCTGCCCAGACTGGACGTGAATGGAAACGTCAGTGAAGGTTTCTGGGTTTTCCGATGTAGGTGGCCGCACTCTGGTGCTGGGGCGGGTGGAAAAGCGGGCCGTCCCTGGGCCTGCGGACCCGACCGGCGGTTATATGTTGTAATCATTTTCGGGAGAAGATCGCCACGCGCATCCAGAAGCCCAGAGGGTCCCGTTCCAGTGGAGGGACCACGGCGAATGGTTTACTCTCAACAGTCCTCTGAGCGCAGGTGGTTCAGAGGATAATCTCTTCCAAAATGCGGCTCTCGCCTCAGCGCCGCGTACACTCGTCTTGAACATTTGCAGCGGTGTCAAGGATGGAGGGCGGGTCGCTTCAAAATGTAAATCTCGCCTTAGCCCCGTGCACACTCGTCTTAATCATGTGCAGCAGCTTCAAGGTTGGAGGGTGGGTCATGTTCAAAATGTGGCTCTCGCTTTAGCGCCGCGTACACTCGTTTCAACTAGGTGTATGTTCATTCCTGGCATTGCTGCAAAGTGTAAGCTTCAGGATCTTACATGCAAGACGCCTTATTCCCCTTCGGTGAGGGCTGGCCCCCATCCCAGGGGGTGGCCCTCGATGGCTTCAAGATGGCCCCCGATAGCCCAAGATGGCCTCCAGGATAACAGAAGATAGCCCAAACTGGTTCAAGTTGGTCTACAACGTGCCTCCAAGAAGCCAGAGACCGCCTCAAGACAGCTCCAAGCGGCCACGGAGCCTCCCAGGAGACCCCCGACAAGCCAAAAGACATTGAAATGGCATGTATACTTCGATCTGCTGTGCCTTGTCGTCTGCTCGCTTCCGATGGGCTCTTGGGCATCGAGATGACTACAGTCTAAGAAAACCTCAGCTTCTGGATGGGCTGGTGGGAACACGAAGCGTCAAGAGCACGTGTCTCCCGAGCCATGGCTTCTGCACGAGGGAGAGGCGAAGGGACAGGAGGAGAAGAGAGGAGGGGGGCGGGGGTCAGCCTGAGGCGCAATATCCTGAGGACACGGGGAGAGGAGGCAAGGTGGAAGGGGTCCAGGGCCACAGAAGGCGAGGGCCGAGGGCCACGGGAGTCAAGGGGGCGAGGGCCGAGGCCACGGGAGTCCAGGGGGCGGGGGCCAAGGGAGCCCAGCGGGAACCCCCAGCCAGCTGCACCAGAGGGGACCAGGGCCAGGGGGGGGGGGCGCGGGAGAGCGCAGGACGAACCAAGAGCAAATTTGAGCGAGCTCGGGAGCCCAGGGGGGGGGGGGGGGCAGGGACCCAGAGGGCCGGGGCCAGGGGCAGGGCCGAGGCCGAACGAGGGGGCCTCGGAGGGCGCCCTGGCCAGAGGGAGACCAGGGCCCAGGCGAGGGGGGCAGCGCGGGGTCCCGAGGGCAGGCCCCAGGGGGGGAGGAACGACGAGCGAGGAGCGACGAACGACAAGAAGTGGCCACGACGAACGACGAAAGAACGGACGAGCGACGAGCGACACGCGAGGGCCCCGGGGGGGAGGAACGAGGAGCGACGAGCGACGAACGAAAAGAAGTGGCGAACGACGAACGACAAGCGACAAGAGAACGAACGAGCGACGAGCGACGAGCGAGGGCTCAGGGAAGACAGCTCTTGCACGAGGTAGCTGCGAGGGAGAGGCGGGCGAGGGAAACTTCTCAGCGTCGTCCGGGCAGCCCCCTCTTGGGGGGGTAGGAGGGGCGCATGGAGGGCGACGAACTCACGAGCGACGACGACCGACGACCGAAGAGAAAACAGCTCCGAATTCCAGAAAAACGAAGCTGCGCAAGAGAAAGAATGGCTCAGGAATATGTTTTTTTGATTGTGGTAATGGTCGCTACCCAGGGGGGACCCGGTTACGGTAACGGTTGGGCGCGGTGGGGCACGTCGGGGCGGGGGTGCGCTGCGATCTCCACGCGCGCGAGCACCAGCATGTGGGGGGGATCCAAGGCCCCCCCCGCTACGTACAACCGCTACCGTTACCCAGGAGAAGAGCGAGTAATGACCGTTACGCGCGAGAAGACGTGAACGAAAACAAAAAACAAAACTAAAACAAATCGTACTGACTATGGCCGGGAACGGGCCGAGGACAACGCAAGACAGACGAGCCAAAACTATGGACTCCGGGGCCAGGAGGGCGGGGTCCAGGGGCCCACGGGCCAAAGGGCGGGCCGAGGACGAACAACGGACGACGAACGAAAATATAAGAAAAGGGCTCCAAGCCCTATATAGGACACAGCTGCGCAGGACGCCCAAACCTACAGCCCGACTGCGGGGGAGGAGTGCACGCTTCGCTGGGGGGAGCCGTCCCGTCTGCCCGCCAGCGCCAGAGGAGCGGGAAAAAGAAACGTCCCCTAAGAAAAATGGATGCACTGTAACATTTGCATCTCCTCTGGATCGCCTCGTTTCCTCCATTTGTTCTTAGTCAAGCTATTGGGCCTCGAGGACCCGAAGCGTCAGCCTCCTTTCCTCCTGTTCCTCCCCCTTCTCATCATCCATCAGTCTCGGCTCCCTGGTAGGGACTCCATCTCAAGTGTCCTCACACCTCCAGCCTCCAGTCGCGTACACCAGGTGCCAACCTTTTTGCACAAGATGCCGCATGCTCTTGGCGGTGCCCACAGACAGACAAAGAGGAGAAGGAGGAAGATGAGGAGCCATGGCTCAAATTGGAAAGAGGACTGCCGCGGTGATGCCAGCAACTGTGCTTACTGTCGCATTAGCATGCGCATATCTCTGCTCCTTCCATCGCACGGCAATCTGGAGCGAGCCTGAAGGCGCTTGCGACTGTCTCCTGCTTCGGGATGCTGCTCAGTAGCGCGCCCCCCGGTAAGACAATGTCAGCTCTCGCGAACTTTACTCCCAGAACACGTGCAAGCGGGAGATCTAGCAGATTCGTCACAGAACGATCGGTGGGTGCTGCTCTGATTCGGGCCACCTCCTCCCCACTGAAGGTGTTGAAGACAATCGAACCACCGTCAGAGGATGCCGACGCCTCCAAGACTAGCGCTGGCAAACCGTAAACCTGACCTTCGTCCAAGGCGGGTAGGTCGCACTGTCCTACGTCATTCTTACCACAGGCCACACACTCCCCGTCGCTTCGAACCAGAATCGTATGGAAATGCCCCGCGATCACCTGCACATACGTCAGGCCTGCAGGCAAGGCCGGGAAGCTGCACTGTCCCGCATCGTTGTTGCCGCACGCCACAACCGTGCCATCGCTCCGCAGCAGAACTGTAAAGCCATATCCTGCTCCCAGCTGCGCGTAAGTCAGACCCCCATCCAAAAGAGGGAGATCACACTGCCCCTCACGATTGTCTCCACAGGCGACAGCCGTGCCATCGCTCCGGAGCAACACTGTATGACTCCTTCCCGCGGCAACCTGCACGTAAGTCAGGCCCGCGTTCAGGGCTGGGAGGCAGCACTGCCCCTCGCTGTTGTACCCGCAGGCCACGGCGACGCCGTCGCTGCGAAGCAGAACGGTGTGGCCGGAGCCGGCAGCAACCTGAACGTAAGTCAGGCCCGCATTCAGAGCCGGCAGGCGGCACCGCGCGCCGTATATGGGGCCGCAGGCCACGGCCGTGCCATCGCTCCGAAGGAGCACCGTGTGGAAGAACCCCGCGGCGACTTGCACGTAGCTCAGGCCCGCGGCCAGGTCCGGGAGGCCGCACTGGCCGTTCTCGTTGTCGCCGCACGCCACGGCGGCGCCGTCGCTCCGCAGCATGACTGTGTGGAAGTTCCCCGCAGCAGCCTGGGCGTATGTCAGGCCTGCCAGACGACCTTCGCCACACCCACCAGTCCACCCCCGATAGAGGCCCCGAAGGGGCATACTGGGGTTTTATACAATGCACCATGTTTGTGATGGCCAGTATCAGGAGGGGGATTCCAGCGGCCCCAGCACGTCGGTTCCCAATGCATCCGTTTCCTGGATACGTGCCGTCCTTGGCGGATAAGGGGGATCCCATGGTGTCATTCAATCGATTCCTGACGTACATGTTTCCTGGGTCAATACCAGTCTGCGACAAAGACGTCCATATGCATTGTGACTCAAGGCCCAGAGTGCGAAGGGAAATCACCAGTCACACATTATTTCATTCATTTACATACCCTATTATGCAAGGATGAGCACGGAGGCACGAAAGTCTTCAACAACAAACAATCATTCATTACATTGGGTGGAAAAATGTCCAGTAGCAACATATCAATATCTCTGGCTGTCACCTCATGCTTCACTAGAACTAATGATCCTGAGGAGTCCAAGTTCCGAAAGTTACGCGCAATGGGCACATGTTAACTCGAAGTATCGCTTGAACCATCCTCACAATATATGACGCGATATCTTGACCTTACCAAAGCTTAAATCAGAACTTATATCAGATAAGTGAATGGAGGCCGATTCCATATCAAACTCAATGTGTTTGGGCACGTCATGCTGCCGAATATCAACGGCATCCTCGATGCGCATTGCGAAACTGGGAAAAAAAAAGTCACGGGCCTCACAAGCCCGATCCTGCCACGTACCGCGCCAGGGCCGCAAGGTTCTGACTCGTCCAGCCTTCCCAAGTCCCAAGACTCTAGCGGCGCCACATGAAGACACACAACTCCAACCCACCATCCAGATGTTGAACGCGAAGCAGGCCCATTTGACCCTCACCTTTGCAGCAGCCACTCGTAGCAGGGCAAGGCAACACTTGCCTTGCCTTACGAGAGGCGGCTCTGGAACGGGAGCGCGTATTGCAGCATCAGCGGCGTGTGCTGAATTTACACTGGCCCCCCTCCTCCTCCTCCTCCTCCTCATCCTCATCCTCCTCGTCCTCGTCCTCGTCCTCGTCCTTACCCTCCCCATCCCCTTCCCTGTCCTCCTCCTCCTCTTCCTCCTACTCCTCCTCCTCCTCGTCTCCCCCACACCGACTTGGTTTATCGTGATCGGAATAGAAAAGGCTGCTGGCCTAAATACTGCAACCTTTAGCCGAAGTATGCTCGAACCTATGTTTGGTTCACTTCCCTCCGCGATAGGTCCATCCCATTCCTTTCAATTCCTCATCGACCTGGTCCTTCTCATTGTCCTCCTCATCCTCCCTGTGGGTGTGACGAAAATATCCCACCTGCTTCCAGAGCAGGGAGGTCGCACTGCCCCTGGCCGTTAAAGCCGCACGCCACGGCCGCGCCATCGCTCCGCAGCAGCACCGTGTGGCTCCACCCCGCTGCGGCCATCTCCCTCCTGTTCCTCCTCTTCCTCCTTCACCTCGTGCTCCTCTCCTTCCTCCTCCTCCTCCTCCTCCTCCTCCTCCTCCTCCTCATCGTCGTCCTCCCCCTCCTCCGCATCATCCTCCTCCTCATCCTGCTCCTCCTCCTCCTCCTCCTCCTCCTGCATACGCCTCCCGCATCACCTTCCCTATTATGCCGTCCTGCTTACGTTGTCTCTTCTCATCCCCCTCCCCCCCCTCCCTCCATAGTATCATCCTCTATGTTCGGTTTCCTCGTGACCCTCCTCCTCCTCCTCCTCCTCCTCCTCCTCTTCCTCCTGCTCCTCCTCCTCCTGTTCATCATCCTCCTTGTCCTCCTTCTCTTATTCTTCCTCCTCTCCTCCTCCTCCTCCTCCTCCTCCTCCTCCTCCTCCTCCTCCTCTTCATCTCATCATCATCATCTCATCTCCTCCTCATGTTCCTCCTCCTCCTCCTCCTCGTCCTCGTCCTCGTCCTCCTCCTCCCTCTCTCCTCCATTTCCTCCTCATCCTCCTCCTCCTACTTCTCCTCATCTCTTCCTCCTCCTCCCTCCTCTCCTCCTCCTTCTCCTCCTCCTCCTCCTCCTCCTCTCCTCCTCTCTCCTCTCCTCTCCTCCTCCCTCCTCCTCTCTGTCCCCTCCTCTCCTCTCCTCCTCCTCCTGCTCCTCCTCCTCCTCCTCCTCGTCCTCCTCCTCCTCCTCCACCTCCTCCTCCTCCTCCTCCTCCTCCTCCTCCCCCCTCTTCGCGGGGGAAGCAGACTCAACTTGGGCCAAGGGAACGGAATGGAGAGGAGGAGGGAAGGACAGGGAGAGAAACGAGGGGTCAAGGGAGCGAGTGGAATGATTATCCAGGGGCGCAGCGCCGCAAAATGGCTAATAGTTTCCGATCTGGTGCGGGAGTTTCTCTCCCAAGCGCAGCCCGGCGACATGGCGGCGCACTGTAGTTTGTTTGACGTCGGTGCTGATGAAAGCTGGAATAGCTTCTCGTCCATGCACACATGTGCGCGCGGGTACAATAGCTCACTATGCCCGCACCGAACGGCCCAACTTGAGCCACGATGTCGATTGTAAGCCTTAACCCAAGATCGTTGCTGTAACGATTTGTTCGGCGCCCAGTCATGTCACGCTATCAATGAGCCAAAAAATACGAATACTACTAGCAATACGGACCAAAGCAACAACAACAACAACAACAACAACAACAACAACAACAACAACAACAACAACAACAACAATAATCATTTAAAACTGGGGACACTCCGTTCTCACCAGTGCCAGGGTTTTCATAGGAGGCGGGCAATACCCCCACTTTGTGGGGGGGCCGGTTCAAACTCTACCAAGTTTCCAAACGACTCTTCGCCACCACCCACACCCAGCTTCCCGCCCTATGACGTTCGGACACTTCACTTCGTGGCCTGCGGACGACCTTGGCTACTACACTGACGCATGGGTACAATGACTTGTTGTGGTAACATTTTGTGGAAGCTAGCTTAGTATACGACTTATCCCCCTGTTCCAACACTGGACACCTGTACCGTTTTCCGACGTTTTTCCGTTTCTGTACCACACAAGCAAAGATTATTTTGAGTGGTACCACGTGCGTGGCGCCAGCATACCACAGGACTTGTTTCCGTTGTTGTTATATGCTCATTCTTGTTCTGTGGTATGCGCGCAACCGTTGTTGCAGAAGTTCGAAGAACGTGAAAAAGTTGCTCGCAAGAGCCCGTTTGACAGAAATGTTGAAAAAATATTGGGTTTCCTCAGAAATCCGCAAGAGCGCGCAAGATGAATTTTTGAAACTTTGTTTTGAAAAACCCTGGGGTTTTTCATGTTGTTATGTTAAAATCGCTACGAAAACTAAGGTTTGGGAAGGATTTCATCTTGCGCGCGCGAGTGTGCACTTCGTGTCATTTGTTGCAAAGGATTCTTGAAGTTTGGTTATGTTAGAACAAGAGATTTCATTTTACAGTGTTTTTTTGCCAGGGAAAGCGGGCGTCAACAAAACAACCGGATCTGGTATACCCCGTTTTGCCTGAGACTTCCTCACGAAAATGATGAAAATGTGGCTGCGGCCTAGGCGCGGCGGGGGGGTCGTGCACCAGGGGTCCCAACAATAATTATTCTTTAGAATCAATAATGTTCAACAACAACAACACACAACAACAACAACAAACAACAACAAAACAACAACAACAATTACTAGCACGTGGGGACACTCCGTTCTCACCAGTGCCAGGGTTTTCATAGGAGGCGGGCAATACCCCCACTTTGTGGGGGGGCCGGTTCAAGCTCTACCAAATTTCCAAACGACTCTTCGCCACCACCCACACCCAGCTTCCCGCCCTATGACGTTCGGACACTTCACTTCGTGGCATGCGGACGACCGTGGCTACTATTCAGGGCCCCGCGGCCGACGACGACGGCGTGCGCGCGCGAAGAAAAAACGAATGTGTCCCGCATGGTATTATTTGACAGGGATGATGGCCCTGGCAGGTGCGCAACCGTTGTTGCAGAAGTTCGAAAAAGTTGCTCGCAAAAGCCCGTTTGACAGAAATGTTTAAAAAGTGTTGGGTTTCCTACGAATCCGCAAGAGCGCGCGGGATAGAATTTTCACAACTTTTTTTTGAAAAACCTTTGGGTTTTTGATGTTTTTATGTTAAAATCGCTACGAAAACTAAGGTTTTGGAAGGATTTCGTCTTGCGCGCGCGAGTGTGCACTTCGTGTCATTTTTTGCAATGGATTCCTGAAGTTTGGTTATGTTAGAACAAGAAATGTCATTTTATATTGTTTTTTGCAAGGGAAAACGGGCGTCAACAAAACAACCGGATCTGGATCACATCGTTTTGCCTGAGACTTCCTCACGAAAATGATGAAAATGTGGCTGCGGCCTAGGCGCGGCGGGGGGGGCGTGCACCAGGGGGCCCAACAATAATTATTCTTTAGAAGTAATAATATTCAACAACAACAACAACAACAACAACAACAACAACAACAACAACAACAACAACAACAACAACAACAACAACAACAACAACAAAAACGACAACAACGACAACAACGACAACGACAACAATAACAGCAACAGCAACAGCAACAACAACCACCACCACCACAACAACAATCACTTTAAGACTGTTCGCTCTTATCTGCACGTGTGCAATTGAACACGTATACCCCAAACCCTCGATACCCACCCCCTTCGTCTTCGATCGCATCCCCGTGGAGGTATATATGTCTTACCTGCAACGTGTACTTCGTGCAGCACCTCAGGCAGGGGAAGAGAGGACGGATGGAACGAAAGGACAAGGGGGAGAGAAGAAAATGGGGCACGAGAGAGTGTAGCAGGAGGGGAGCGAATAGCAGAAAGCACGCGGCAGAACCAGACGGGCAGACCAGGCGGGCAGACCCTCACAGGCGGGCCCAGGCGGCCAGGTCGAGCAAGCGGGTTGCCAAAGCGTGCGTCCTGCATGAATCGCGGGGACGTCTTGAGAGACAGCGCGATTCAGAAATAAACCTCGTGAAGAAATCGAAAGGAAGAGCGTGATTCCTGAGTGTCGAGGGCGCGGCGCCTGAATCATTTGCGAGGAAGTCCCAAATGACAGCGCGATTCCTGAGGTTCAAAAGCGCGACGCCCGAATAAATTGCAAGGAAGTCCCTAGCGAGAGCGCGGTTCTTCAATAAATTGCAAATTAATATCAACCGGGAGACGTTGCTGTTGTAGACCGGGGGCCAAGGGCACAATTTGAGCAATTGGTACAATCGCAGCGAAACCCGGGAGGGTCATGTTATCTATATCTATATATATATATATATGTATATACACATATACGTACATATATCAGCTTTTTTGGAAACAACAAAAAGGTGTGTTATGCGAATGCGTGGGTCCTGCACAGGAAGTCTCGGGCGAAAGCACAATTCCGAAGTAAATTATGCGAGGGCCTGGCGCCTGAATCAATTGTGAAGAAATCACAGGCGAGACCGCGATTCTTGGATAGATTGCACGGAAATCCCTAACGAGAGCGCGATTCCTCAGCAAACTGCAGGGATATATATATATATATATATATATATATATATATATATATATATACACTTATTATATATATATACTTATACTTATACTTATACTTATACTTATACACATACATATACATATACACATGAATACATATATATATATATATATATATATATATCAACCGGGAGCCGTTGTTATTGTAGTCCGGGGGCCAAGGGCGCAGCTTGAGCAGGAAAACTTTCCCGAAAAATGAAAACACGGTGCGAGCCCCGGATTGAAGAAAGCACACATGTTACTGGAGAGGGGATCAACAAAAAATATTATTAAAATGTGAAAACTCACACTAGCAGCAACAACAACAACAACAACAATCATTTTGAGGCTGTTCGCCCTTTATCTGCTCGACTGTCCAATAACGCGCATTTCCCAAACCCTCGATACCCGCCCTCTTCGTCTTCGATCGAACCTCTTTGGGGGGGGGGTACCTTTCCTCCCTGCAGGCCGGTCCCCGGCAAGCGGCGAGGCGGCCGCGGACCGTCGGCCTGGCACGCGGCAGCGCTGATCGGCGGGGCGGCCGCGGACCGTCGACCCGACCCCAAGAGGGACGGACAGGGGACCCACCACGACGACGACGACGACGAAGTCGACGACGACGGCGACGACGACGACGGCGACGACGACGAAGACGAGCGAAAGCCAGAGCGAGAAAGAACGACAGCAGGGCCACGAAGGACACGAAGTGGGCCACGAAGGGCGACAGCGGGGACACGAAGGGAATGCGTATGGGGCCACGAAGAGCGCGAACGAGCGGGGGCCACGAAGGGCAGATAATGCGGGGCCACAGAAGGCAACGATGGGGCCACTGAGGGTAGCAACTGGGCGACGTAGGACAGTGATGGGGCCACAAACGGCGACACCGGGGCCACGAAAGGCATGCACATGGGGCCACAACGGGCACGAATGAGCGGGGGCCACGAAGGGCATACGTATGTTGGGCCGCGGAGGGCAAGGACGGGGCCACTGAGGGCCGAAGGGCAGCGAGGGGGCCACGAAGGGCGACAGCGGGGCCACGAAGGGCATGCATATGGGGCCACCACGGGCGCGAACGAGCAGGGGCCACGAAGGCTTTACATGTATGGGGCCACGAAGGGCACCGAGGGGGCCACGAAGGGCTGCAATGGGGCCACGAAACAAAGCGAGGGGACCACGAAGGGGAGCGAGGGGGCCACGAAACAAAGCGAGGAGGCCACGAGGGGTTGCAACGGGGCCACGAAACAAAGCGAGGGGGCCACGAAGGGCTGCAACGGGGCCGAGAAGGGCAGCGAGGAGGCCACGAAGGGCTGCAACGGGGCCACGAAACAAAGCGAGGGGGCCACGAAGGGCTGCAACGGGGCCACGAAACGAAGCGAGGGGGCCACGAAGGGCTGCAACGGGGCCACTAAGGGCAGCGAGATCCCGATTCCGAGGTAATATGAGAGGGAGTCCTAAGCGTGAGCGCGACTCTTGGGTGCCTGGGTGTCGGCGGCGCTTGAATAAATTGCAAGAAATTCCAACGCAAAGGCGCTATTCGTCTGAAAATTGCAAGCAAGTCTCCAGCGAGAGCGCGACTCCAGAGCGCTGGGATAGCGATTTCTAAAAAAAATGCTAAAGCGGTTTCAAGCGAGAGCGCGACTCCTAAATAAAATGCGAGGAAGTCTCGGGCGGGAGCGGGGGTCCTGGCTAAATTGTGAGGAAGTCTCCAGCGAAACCGTTGTTGTTGTTGTTGTTGTTGTAACTCGGGGGCCAGGGGCGCAGTTTGAGCATCAAGACTGTCTCTGTCAAAAAGCAGGGTGCGAGTGTCGAAGGGCACACTGCGATTGAGAAAAAACAGCATGCACCGGTGATGGGGGGATCAACCATAATTATTCTTCAGAAGTGAGAATGCAACAACAACAACAACAACAACAACAACAACAACAATCACTTTACCCGAACGCTCAGTGTTCTCACCAGTGCCAGGGTTTTCATGCGACGCCAGCCAATACCCCCACTTTGTGGGGGGGCAGTGCAAGCTCTACCAAATATCCACACGACTCTTCGCCACCACCCACACCCAGCTTCCCGCCCTATG